CTTGGAGTGCTGCTCAAAGAGCAAAGCCTACACTAGGTGAACAAAGACCAACCTAGAGGTTGGTGTTACAGTTCATGGTGGGGCGCTTGCTTACGGTGTGTGAGGGTTCACACTTCGCCCTACACCTTTTCAGAAAGAGAAAAATACCACTATCATCTGAAATGCCATATAAAGAGAAATTATTATGGGGTTAATATGGAAAGAGGCAAAAGAAGCCAAACCCTTTCATGAATGACGCCTCTTCCTTTCACTGCTGCTGGCCCAGAAGTCCTCAAAAAGTCTAAGCCATCTATAGCAGGCAGGCTCTGCTGAGAAGAGGCCCAAGAAGGAGCTGGGGGAGGCTGTTTGCAGAAGCACAGCCAAAGCCACTACCACCCTGGCCTGGCCTTCTCAAGCCCTTCCCCCACTCGCTGGCTGGACTGGGTTCTGCCTGGGGACAGGATACAGAGGTAGCGGCCCATCTAGTCTAGCCGGCAGAGCAGCCCAAATTTGCTCCAGAGATTTTAAATGCTGTCACCCTGCATTTAACCCCTGCCTGACTACCTCATTCTTTCCAGGACAAAAGAGGTTTATCAGGGAGTCGTTCACCAGGGGCGGAGCCCATGACCTCAGGTCCTACAGAAGAGGCCCGCCAACAGCCCCACTGCTGCCTAGGACGGGTCTACACCGGGGTGTGGGTGTGCATCAGGTGAGCCGCCCTAGCCTGGAGCCAGCAGACTGACTTGGTTAAGAGACTAGACCTGTATTCTTGGATTTCCAGACTGTCATTTCCCACAGTGGCCTGGAGGGAACAGGTGGTCACTGCTGGTCACTCTGAGAGCCCATCCTTGTGACAGCTGTAAGCTCACCAGCGAGTGCTCCACCCTCACCTCCCAGGATGTTAGAAACCACAGCCAAACCTGGTAAGAGGCAGAGATGCTGGGGACACAGCAGTCACCTGAGGCCCAGGACTTCTAGCTCAGTATCACAACTTCATTCCAGAGGGTTAAAAACTCATTCACATCAGCTGAATGGCTTTCCTTAGGCCAGAATGCAGCAATCCTCCTGAGCTACTTGATTTTAGCCCAAGTCGGCCGTGGACCGAGCCAGGACATTTCGGATTATATAGGTGCTTTTAAAAGTCCTCGGACACTAAGGCAGATGCCAGCAGGGATCAAAGAGGGGAGAGAGAGAGAGAGAGAGAGAGACACCGAGACCACTTGTCCTCACGGTCGATTTAGTACTAACTTGAAACTCTTCCACCCCAAATGTGGAAACCAAAAGCTATCTAAGACCTTAAGCAAAGGAACTAGCCTAGCCACCCTCCCCCAGGCCCCTGATCCCTCCACATAAACATGATTGCATAGACAGGAGATGTCGATGCAGTTTCTTCAATTCCCCTAAGACTCCTTCATGCTTCAAGTCTCCAGGGCCCACCCCTCACCCCACCCCCGACCCTGGGAATTCCTCTTTGCAAGTTGAAGTAGCTGTGAATGGCTGCAGGCCCAACAGGGCTCTCTGCGGAGTTCCAGAGACCCAGGCAGTACCAAACGCTCTCTGAAGTATCTCTGAAGGAAGGGCCTGCTAGAGCTAGGTAACCTATCAGTCCAGTTAAGACTGCACACAGGCCACATGCAGCCCCTCCACCCAACTCCAGAGAGGGTGCAAAGACGCTAAGCCGAGAGCAGTTCTTCCCTGAGATGTAGTAGAGGGCCCAGATGTAAATCCTGGCTGTCTCCTCCACTCAGCTCTATAGAAGCTTCCCAGTTATGTCAGTTCTTGCCAAGGTGGGTCTCCCTGACTCAAAAAGCAGCAGTAGCAAGGGCCTGACCTGGATTTGCACGCCTTCCAAAAGACGTCAGTGCCCAGAGACAAGGCTGAACCCGGGCTACCAAGACTGCTGTTCTGAACTGTTCCAAATACCAGTCCCCACACAGGACACAACTTCATGCAGGAGCCACTTTGTGAGAGCAGGGCCCCGGATTCTCTCGGATCCTGCCTGTTGGCATGGCATCTCTAACGCTCAAGTGTCAACACAGGAGTCTGTCTGTCTGTCTGCCGTGTGTGAGCGCACACACACATTCACATGCTTGCACACAGCGATCCATCTGTCTCAGAAAGCCGGCTGTCAGAAATGAAAGTACAATCTCCTGGAACCAAATTACTGCCTTCTAAAAATGTCCCATTTTTCCCAGACTGAGGAAACTTGTAAGGGTGGGGTGTGGCACTTCACTGCAGGTCTGCAAGGAGCTGGCCTGTTGTCCCCCTGCCCTCCCCACAACCAGAACCAGACTGCAAGGCTGGAATTCCAACCTGAAGCCAGGGCACTACTCCCAGGGCCAGTCCCCGCCCACTCCCCTTCCTCTTGCGGGCTCTCTGCAAGCGTGCAGGAAAGGGAAGGGCCAGCCTTGGAGTCACCCCGCATTTCAGGAGGGGCTAGGCCTTTGAGCACGCCCCACCCCCATCTCCGAGGCACCACGTTTTCGCATTGGGCTGTTTTCGCTTTCCCTTCTTCCCTTGCCAAGAGAATCAAGCCCTGGCTCACACTGGCGACCTTCCTCCCACCCTGAACTGAGCCCCATTCATTAAAGCCCGCTCTTAGCCAGGGCAGGACAGGAAGGAAAGCAGCACACAGGGCCTGTGAAAGAGACTGAGAGGTTATTTCAGGGGGGTGTCACCGCCCCCCACCTTGACTGATGCCCATCCTGCTCCGGCCCTACCTCACCCCACAGAGTCCACTACAGGAGCCCCTTCCCATCTCCTCCGCCCTCGTTCAACACCCCTGCCCCTTAAGCCCTCTCAATCTAAGCAAAGCAGACATTTAGTCCCTACACACAACCCTAGCACCACCTTTGTTAAAAGGCGGTGGTCTGGGCTTCCAGGATGTATGAAAACCTCTGCCTAGGCTCACGAAGAGACATTCCCAGAACAAAGAGGATCTTGAGCTTCTCTCTGTGCCCGTCACCTCTCCTCTAAGATAACCCCAAACCATTGGCATCAACCCAAAAAGTCCTTCCTACAACAGCCTCCACCCCAGCACATTAATACATGGCTCCAACTGCGTCCAGAAAGAAGAAAGGGCTCCAACTTCGAAGCCTTGGGATTTAGTAAACCAAGAGCTAACATTCAAAACAAACGCTCTTTCATGTGAAGGCCGCCTCTTTTTTCCCCCTTTTTTCTTTCTGCAGTTCTATTACACCACGACATACTATGCCATCCTAGCAGAGCCTCATCCATTGCCCAGGGGGCCTGAGGGGCGGGCACTAGAATGCTGCTTCCCAGCTCCTTTCTAGAACCGGCAGAACTTTAGGAAAGCGGGGTCCGCTGACCAGGTCATGCTGTTTGGCTCCTGGGGCGGGGTGGTAAGCAGCTCTCAGGCTGGTGGTTCTCAGCCTGGTATCGTCATTTCCTCCAGTAGAGGAGACAGACAAGATGTTATCAATAAGACAAGCCTTCTGAAAAGCCCCTTTCAAAAGCTACCACTTCCCTTGCTTATTTCATGTGGTTTGGAGAAGCCAGGGCTCCTCCCTGCACACCCAGAACTTAACAAATAGAGCGGCGAAAAACCAAACCAAAACAAAACAAAAAAACCAATAAATAAATAAATAAAGCCGAGTTAACAGCATCCTGAACATGTTATTATTTTGCTCCTATTCTCTCCTGGTCCTTTCTTTTGAGACCTCTCAGCTCATTTCAGCCCTAGCAAAAGATGCAGACTTTCCAGGCCATACTGGCTCCCTCCTTGGCCTGCTAGGGCCCACCCCCTTTCTCCCTCTGGGTCCTTCTTTTCCTGCTCAGTTCTCATTAGAAGCTTTGAGTAAACAATACCCTCAGTCTCAGATAACAGTCAGAGTACACACTGCACTGAAATCAAAACAAACAAGGGTCCCCCTACAGCCATTTCCCAGCAGGCTCAATTCCTGGAGGGGAAAGTCTGGGATGTGGGTCCAGAATGGACTGTACCTCAAACCACACACAGGGACAACTCTTCAACAGTTAGTCAGGGGGAGTCTTCCCACAGCCCAGGGTGCGCAGAGCCCACAACGTCCACTAAGGGACACTACACCAAGGCCCCCCCGCCAGCGACCGTAAGGCCAGCAGTTATACTGAGTGCCCAGAAAGGTCCTGGAATTTCCCCCACCCCAGGTGACTTTCCCTCTTGTTTTAGCTAGTTCTTAGAAAATAAATGATGATGACCTGGTAGGGTAAGGAGAAATAAAGCAAAAACATCTTTAGAAAAGAACTGTCTCACCTCCCAGAGTGTATCTTTTCCTCAGAGACAGACAATAATGCACAGGCTCTCTCTCCCCAGAGTACCTCCTCCAATCCCAGCTCTCCCTGGATCCATCTTTCCAGGCCTTTGGTCTGAGCCCCGAAGAAGGCCTGTCCAGCTTAGGCACCTATTGTCTACAGCAAGCCTGGGGCAACAGAACCCCACAGTCCACCAAGATCCAGCTTGCACCTGGGCTGTGTACCTCGTAAACATGGGTCTGTCTCCTTCAAGGCATGCGCGCAAGAGCAAAAATAAAAGCATAAGCACATGAGGTCTCGCCAAAGTTAACAAATGGAAGTTAGGAGCAGCTTAAAAAAACCATGAGGGATGGCAAGATGGCTCACAGGATAAGAGCACCCACCACCAACATGCCTGATGACGTACACTCAATCCCTGGGGCCTACAGGGTGAAGAAGAGAAACAACTCCTACAGGCTGTCCTTCAGACACATGTGAGTAATGAACACACACAAAATTTAGTAAAAATAAAAAATAACCACAAAGCATGTCTCACGCACAATCAGCTCTCAGCTGACTCCAGTTTCCCCATTCCTGGGAAGGGCAAGGTTCTGGCACATAAAGAAAGGACCACAGGATGAAGGCGGAAGGGCACTACAGTCAGTCACCCAGGATATGTCTAGTTTAAGGCATATGACGATGAGATCAACTCCAGACCAGTCGGGGTGGCAACAGGCCACCCCCATTCCTTTAGCCTCCAGCAATTTCTAGGAAAGGAGAGAGTGTCTTACCTGAAAGCCCCCCAGGGGCCAGATAATTCGTTCCCCCGGTTTCCGCGGAGGAAGGCACAGCATCTGGACAGGCTGCTGCAGAGTCAAGAGAGAAAGAGAGAGGGGGGTAAATAAGCACAAAAAGAACAGAGTCAGAGGCTGTAGAGAGAGATGGCTCAGTAGTTAAGAGCACTGACTGCTCTTCCAGAGGACCAGGGTTCAATTCTCAGCACCCACATGGCAGCTCACAACTGTCTGTTAACACCCAGATCTAATGCCCTCACACAGACATACATGCAGGCAGAACATGAATGCACATAGAAATAAAAATAAATAAATTAGTAACAAAATCAGCGTTCATTCTTACAAACACTGAACAGCATGAAAGAAAGACCACACATTCCAAAGGTCTGACTCACAGCCAGCACGAGGCAGATTATTAATGGTCTACTCGGCTTCGTGGTGTAGCCTAAGACAGACCACAGCACCTTGTCACCCGTCTGGGCTCCAGGCGGCCAGTTAATCATTGGTCAAGTCAGGCTCAATCACAGACTGACTGGAATTTCTCTTCCATTACAAGTCTCCCATTGAGAGCAGGTAATTGCCAAGGTCAAGGAAGTGTACTTTCTCAACTCTATTCTCTCTTCTCCATCAGGGGACAAAGCCCCCTTCCTCCCACTCCCATAGTCTCACTGTGGCCTTTAAAAAAAAAGCATTTTCCCTTTTAATGGAGATAACAAATGTAGGGATTGAGTGGACTCACTGACTTCTACCACCTGAGCCTGCCAGCCCAGCAAGGACCAAGCAGGAGGGAAATGTTCTTTCTACCTGCTTCCAGACGGATCCCAAACCCACCTCTGGAAACCTGCCCAGACAACCCCATTCTTACAAGGCTGCCTGCCTCAGTTCCTACACAATCTCTCTGGCACGGTTTCCTTCCATTGTCTTTACTAGACCTTAACCTACAGATTCTGTCTCCTCTGCATCTCCCCTCCCTCCCAGGTGCTCAGCGGTGACCTCACTGCAATGACAATTCCAGCTGAGAGAGAGCGGACACACAGACCCTAGAGAGAGAGAGATACACGGACCCTTACAGCCTCCCTCCAAGCAATTACAAAAAAACAAAAACAAAAACAAAAAACGCCCAGAATCACAGTTCATTAGTCCCCAGGAACGCAAATGCACAGGCCCCAGGAACTGGGAGCTTCTTCTGCACCACTGCCAACACCAAATTTCTTTTTTTTTTTTTTTTTTTTTTTTTAAAGATTTATTTATTTATTATGTATACAACATTCTGCCTCAATGTATGCCCACACGCCAGAGGAGGGCGCCAGATCTCAGTACAGATGGTTGTCAGCCACCATGTGGTTGCTGGGAATTGAACTCAGGACCTCTGGAAGAACAGCCAGTGCTCTTAACCTCTGAGCCATCTCTCCAGCCCGAACACCAAATTTCTTCCCAAGTCCCCATAGAAAGTTTGGCTCTGGGAAAGCCAAGGCTCCACTGGTTTGTACAGACTCCAGTTCTCCAAGACCAGGCTACCAGGCATTAGCACATACCCTTTTGGCCACACTGGTAGGCAACAGAGAAGCCTGGAGGCCAGTAAGTAGCCCTGACGGCCCTTCAGTGGTACAATAGTTGCCTCCTGTCCCTGACAAAGGGAAGGAGACTACCAAGCCTGTCCCAACACACAGTCCTGTCCCCGCCCCCCAGAAGTCTTTTGCTGAGGATCCCTCCTCCCTCTGAGGTCTTCTCTTCCCAAAGTCAGAAAGAAGATTCACTCTTCAACAAAACTCTCCAGTGGGGAGGAAAGGGAGGTGGAGCACTTGGGTATATAGCACTTGCTCAGTATGCATTTAAAAATTAAAGAAAAACCTCTTCTGCATGGGAGGGAGCATGTAGGAGTGGTTAGCAGGGGGAAAGAGAAGGCTGTATACAACCTCATTTTTTCAGGGAGAGGATAATCCCTACCAGGAATATACTGCTTTACAGGATACGCTTAATAATCAAATGGAAAACAATGGGGGGGGGGGAGGCAGGAAAGGGCGGTCCTAGCCCTATGGTGCAAGCCTGTACTTTCTAAATTACGATTCTTACCCCACCATTTTCTAAAGATTGGCTCCTCATTCCCCTCCTCCACTCCTCCAAAAGGGAAGACACCCCATGGCCACTCCCCTAGCTCAGGCTGGCAGAATGCCAGGGGCAAGGTGTATTTCAAAGGCTAAGACTGGCCCTCTCTAGGGCAGGGCCTGGAGACCTCAGTCAGGGTGTCAGCTTGGCTCACATCAAAGGTGAACCAGCTCCAAGATGCAACCACAAGTGATTTTTATGAACCGTGCTCTGGCCTCTGCATCGCCTTTGATCTCAGGAGGGATTTACACACATTAATTAGGCCTCCCTACCACCCCTGTGAAGCAGCAGCACATTCGATAGGCACCCAGGTAAACTGAGGTGCCACTGCCTGGGCCAGGGGCCACCCAGGGAGCTGAACAACCTGGGTCCAGCTCCTATCCCCAGGGTTTCCATTCCCAAGCAGGCCACCAAGTTCTAAACCTCTTCCCTGGCGCTGGCCAGGTAGGTTCAGCCAGTCTTTGGTGTCTAGAACCGCCCCCCAGCTATTCCCTAGCATACAAAAGTCAAGTGGGACAGATCTGCACCCACCACTCTACAATGGTAAATCTCTCAAATCAGAGTCTCATCTTCCACCACTATCTCCTACTCCCCAGAGCCCAGTCTGGCAGACAGCAGAGCCTGGCCATCCCCATCTCCTCCACCACCATCTATTACCAAACACCTAATTAAGCCCTGGGATCTGTGGAAGACAGACACACATCCCCCTTCTCCCAGCAGGTCTAACAAAACTGCAGCCTAGAGCCTGGGGAACTGTTAAGGTTCTTTCCAACTTAGTTCTGAGCTTCCCAGGTACTGCTTTCTAGAGTGACTGATGGAAGCAATAAGGAAATAAACGAACGAATGACCTTAATCAAACTCATGTACAACTTAGTCTTAAAGAGACTTAATTAAGAGGACCAGATCGCAGATCAAGATGCCAGGCGTTCTGCTAGGCTTAGAAGGCTGTTGCATGAAGAGGCCATCTCAGCAGCCAGTCCCCAGCCTCGGGGCAGCAGATAACAGTGCTAACAGGAAGTGGTACCTTCAAGCATCCCAACTCTACAAAATGAGATCTAGGAACAAACAGCAAGTTATTTTTCCTTGTGGGGGAAACGGGAACACCTTCATGCCTTGCCAAGCCCACAAGTTACAGCCACTTTGGCCTGAGGTCCAGGCATCCCCAACACTCCCTGCAGGTAACTCTGTTTGGGCCAGCTTATATACAGAACCAGGCATAGTCCTAGACCAGGTACTTCAAGAGGCAGCAGCCATCACAAACTGAGTTCCTAGTTCAACCTGCCAGAGCCTCCAAAGGCTCCCAGTTCAACTATACCAGATCCCAGCCCCTTCTAACAGAGATGTCAGAAAAGGGATCTCCTCAGCTATGCTGTCTCATTAAGATTCTAAGTTGTCCACAGTAAAACCTTATTTCCTGTTTCACCTCTGTAACCCAACACCAAACTCTTCAAACTCAGGCTGGGAAAGAATAACTGAATCCCCAGGTCCCAGCCCTTTCCCAGAGAAAATGTGTGAGAGCAAAGCCCCCTGAATCTGTCTCCCTACAGTACCCCTGAGTCACCACAACTAGCAAAACCTGCCCCCTAGACCAGTCCCTGAGCCTGCCCGATCTGTCCTGACCACTCCTCTGCAGAGGCTTTTCTGCTACCCCTTCCTTGTTCTTCCTAACACAATGGTGCCTGCGTTTGGGTCCCTTTACTTGTTTTGTGTTAGGCAAAACATTTGGGGTGAGTAACCAGCTGCCAGGGTTTCCGATTGGCAGGTTAATCACTTCCTATTGGCTGATCTGGGGAAGGTGGCTCCCCTCCTTGGAAATGGCACATTCCTGTCTTTGTGGCTTCTCTGTTTACACACATTTTGCTACCTAATGTCAACACTTGCTAATGAATAAATATATCACTCCACTCCCCAAAAATGAGGTCCTGGCCTGCCAGAATGACTGCTTAAATCGTGCGGAACAGATTTACCCCGTATCTCTTCTGCAAACCCAAGAGCACGTGGTCCTTCTTTCCTATGGAGTCTGGACTTCAGGGGAACTACCAAAGCTGCCACCTCTAAGGCCACAGGGACTTCTCTTTCAGTTTAAGGTTAACTCCCCACATTTGAAAGATACAGAGGGAAAACAAAACCAGAGAGAGAGAGAGAGAGAGAGGGAGAGAGAGAGAGAGAGAGAGAGGACTGAAGGGGACCCCTGGAGAAGTAACCTCCTGGAATGATTTGACTCTTTAAGCCACAAACTCAAGCACGTTAGAGTCCTTAGAGTTTGCTAATGCCAGTTTGTTGCAAATACAGAGAGCCAGTTATCTTGTCATTAATAACCATTTATCTGGTGTTTTGTAAATCGAAAGCAAAATATCACATACTCTGCAGGCCACCTAGTATGCAGGCACCAGGCAAGCAGCAAGGCCTCCCCAACTTGAGAGAACTGGTGTCATTTGTGGAGGGAGGGCTAGCAGGGCCTTCACTTACACTTCACTAAGTATTTAATTTACTGACAATGTCCCCACAAAATTTTTATGGGGGGGGGCAACAGCCAAAACTCTTGGAGAAGGTTCCAAGAGCTAACAACTAGTGCCTACCCCTTCGCTGTCCTTCTCCATGGCAAAGCAAAGATGCATTTTTATAAGCGCCACATAAAACAGGCACAAAAAAACAAAACAAGGTTAACCCCGTTAAAACCGGGCTTTCAGGGACAGATTCTGTAATTCTTCCTGTGCAAGTAGGATGAGGGGCCTGTCCCTGCTGTCATCCCCAATCTGTTTTGCTGACCCTGTCCCCTGGCACTGTCAGCTCTACAGGGATGGGCCCTGGTGCTGCCAGCCAGAAGTTGAATGCAGACAACCACAATAGGGCTGGTGCCAGCCTCAAATGGGCTTCTGCCCTGGCCCCCTGCCATCCAGTGACAAAGCAACAGGCAGGCAGACCGATGCTGAAAACTTTCATGGTCTCTCTACCAAGAATTCTGAGAAAACCCCAGGAGAAAACTGGGGCTGAACTGGGAGAGATAATCCCCTCTGAACTGGTCCCGTCTGAGGCTTCTGAACCGCTCCTCTGCTCAGCTCCTCATCCATTTAACTATCGCTACCCACAGACTTTTTCTGGAGCTCTCAAAGCTTCAGAATGTTTCCATCAACCTGTCCTATTTGGCTCCCAAGACATTCAATGGATTAAAAGCCTCCATGTGTTAAAGCTGAACTAACTTCCATCACACGGTTCAAATGCATAAAAAGGGAACAAATTGTAAAACATGTCTGGGAAGGGGGGAAGCTATCTTTATGGGGGGGAAAATCCAATCACAACAACAGGGACAATCTACCAAACCTGCAACAGAAGAAACTGTAACTACCTTGAGCAAGCCATGCACAACCCCAGGCCCCAAGCTAGACACAGAAACCAGGGTTCTAAGAAAGGAAAAGACCTTTGAAAAACCATCTACTCACCAGTTGGTTTGAGAAAATCCATTGGGTATCTGGAGTAAGGAGGAGGGGGGGACTCTGAAATTAAAAAAAGTAAGAGAATATAAAGACTGAGCCATGAGAAACAGAGATAGAAACTTATGATAACTCAGGCATTCTTTTAGCCCAACTGTTTGTCTTAGCTGTGGGGGTTGGAGGCAGGGCCGCGAGGCGGTGATTGCCTTGATATTTAGCTGTCAGATAAACAAAAGAGACCGCCTGGCGCCAGCCTCCGCGCTCCGCTCCTCCACGTCTGCGGCCGCCGCCGCGCTCAGCGGGCCGGGCTGGAAACCACCGGCTGGGCCAGGACTCCACCGGCGGGGCCGCGTACAGAACAGTTTGCAGGGTGGGGGACGCCCGGGACTGCTTGGCGTCCTAGAAGTACAGAACCTGCTCCCCCCGCCGGACCCACCTCTACGAGCACAATTCACCTCCGCCCCCGCTGCTCAGCTTCGCACCCACGCGCCCAACTAGGGATTCCTACCCAGCCCACCCGAGAAAAAGCACCCTAAGTGTGCTGCTGAACTTGGAAGACTTGAGGGGAGCAGCGTACGCCCCTCTCCACCTTAAGCACAAAGATGTGGAGAAAAGAGAAGACATGGAATAGCTAGGAAGATAATATGGATAGAAACCTGTTCAAGGGTTCCAGCCACGAAGCGCAGGCCCCAGGGCAATTAAGAGGGTCTTCAGGGGGCTGGGTTTCTAAGACCACTAATTGTAAGCTTTTTCGGTGCAAAATAAAGGAAAAAGGAGAAGCCACCCAACTTCTCCAGGCTGTTTGTTCCTTCTCACCCTGAAGCTGGCACAGCTGAGAGTGGACACCCAATTCGGTCTCCATCCTACCACTGCCCCCAAACTCCAAAGCTGTGGAGGCCAGGACAGTATCTGGGCCACTTGTGCCCCCACGTGACTGTCATTATTTACTAAAGGAGAGGAGACGTTCCAGCTTTTATAGCTAGTTTCTCCCAGCCTTGCTTGGCGGGCTTGGACCGAATCCAACTCGGCCACACACCTCAACGCCTTTCCGGGTGCGGGGGAAGCGTGATCCCCACTTCGCTCTGTATTCCCTTACTGACCCGGAAATAAGTGTCTCATTTTCTGCAACATGTCTGTTCACTATAAGCAGAAGCAGTAACCATGGTCCTCCTCCGGAGGGTGGAGGGGAAGTGCGATAGAATATTGAAAGGGAACCCCAAGGAATGTCCAAGCTTCCCCTTGTCCCTTCCCTGATTGAGTTCCCAGGTCTCCTCCATAAGGGGGGTACACATACCCTAGGGCACTCTACCAGCACTTCCGCGCCAGAGGGAACGAAAGGTGGGCACAGAACAACTTCTTACCTAGTTCGCAGAGTCGACTAAGGTGATGGGGGTTGCAGCACACCAGCTCGGGGTTGATCTTCCCGTAAGATTCACAGCAACACAGCCTCTTGACTTCCGAGGAATGCCTGAGATCCGGCCACCTGAACACTTTGCACAGCAGGAGGGGGAGCGAGTAGGTCGAGGGCGGCTGCGCGGGCTGCGTGTTGGCGGGCGCCCCCGGGCCCAGCCTGCAGTCCAGGCGGCCGGGCAGCAGGAGGCACGCGGTGCGCGTACCGCCGCGGGACTCCACGGCCTGGAGCAGCAGCTCCAACTGCCGCTCCTTGAGTTTCTTGAGCACCGAGTGCGTGAGCGCCTTCAGATCCGCCTCGGCGCCCCCGGCCGCCCCTGCACCCGACGTTGGGGGATGGGGATGGTGGTGACCTTTGGCACCTCGGACCGCCTTGCCCAGGCAGCAGCCAGCCCTGCCCGCGCCGCCGCCACCAGCCCCATAAGCCCGGCCGTCCGTCGCCCCTTCTCCCCGCAGCTCGCCTCCGCCACCCCCCACGCCCTCCTCCTCGTCCTCGCCGCCGGGCGCACGGCTCCTCCAGAGACGCCGGACGAGCGTAGATCGTTTGGTCCTGAACATGCGGGGCGAGGAGGCAAGGAGAAAAGTCGTTTGCCGGCTAAGGAGCGAACATGACCTCCGCACACCATGAAGAAGTCGGGCGCCGAGTTGGGGCAGCAGGCGCAGGCGACAGCAGCAACAGCAGGGGCCCGGGCAGGAGCGGCGGCGGCCCGAGGGGCGCTCCGTGGCATGCGCCAGTCTCCCGGAGGCCGGGGCGCGCGCGGGGGCCCAGGGGCGCCCGCCGGGGATCGGGGGCCTGCGCTTCGGCTGCCCCACCCGGCGCGGCCCGCGCCCTGCGCGGCTTTCGGGCCCCGGCGCGCCCCGGAGGAACGCGGCCGCCGCTTCCCTGGGGGCGGCCGAGACTGCCCTGGTGGACGCCTCCCCCAAAAGAGGCCCCCCTACAGTGGCTCCCGAGTGTCGGGCTCGCCAGCCTCGGCTTCCTACATGGAAGATCCTCAGGGGCAAAAGAACGAAAGGCGTTTGGCTGAGCTACTGAAGGGAGAAAAAAAGCCTCTTTCCCCCTTGCTAAGCAACTTAATTTGGGGGTGGGGAGAAGCAAAAAAAAAAAGCAAGCACACGATTTATTTTTTTCTTCTATATCCTTAGTAACCGGATCTCCTCGAATTCTGTGCACGCGAACACTAGAGGAGGGGGCCGAGTAGACTTCACCCCGCGTGAGACGTCTGTAGGGTCTCTCAAAAAAAAAAAAAACAACAAAAAACCCAAAAACCAAATATGCAAAGCCCCCAGTGAAAGAAACACAACACCTCCTCGCACCTCGGAGGTCTGGGGGCCACCGGATGAAGCCCGGGTTTAAAAGAGAAAATGTTTACAAAGTAGAACAAGATGTTCGAGGGGTGGGGAGAAAAAAAAACGTATCCACGAGTTACATCCCCCTTTTTTTCCTTGCAGAACCCCGCCGGTCTTCCTTTCCTTTTCTTCTGCCAAAAAAAATAAAAATGTATTTCTTTTAATCCACAAAAACGTCTGGCTAGGCTGCTTCAATCTTGCGTGTCTGGGTGTTTTAAGAGTCTCTGGTCTTTCCTCCTGCGCTCCCGGGGGCCCAGGTCCTCGGCGGGGACTTCCTCGGCGCTGGGGAAGCAGGGACAGAAGATGCTGCGGCGGCGGCTGCGCCCCGGGGGGCTGTCAGCGCGGGGGAGGGCGGCGCGGCGGCGGGCTCTGGCCGGTCGCAAGCTCTAGCCCCCGAGGGCACAAGCAGCAGACTAGTGTGGAGGCCGCCAGTGCCCCTTCTCCTGGTCACGGGTGGCCGCCGAGGCTGCCCGCATGAGCTGCTGGCCCCGACCCGACTGTGGCGGCAGGAGGCCCGGGTGTCCTCTCGCTGCCTCTTCCTCCGAGACTCTCCTCGTCGCGCCCGGGAGCCTCCTCGTTCCCCGTCCGCCCTCTCCTGGCGTTCGAGTCCTTCTGCCGCCGCTGGGGGCTCGCCGCGCCGCACTCAGGGACTCCGGGGCCGAGTGCTCGGCGGCGTGGCGCCGGCCGGCTGGCTGGCTGCGTCTCGAGCAGCTTTCTCCGGCGCGGCGAGCGGACCGAGCGAGGCGCCCGGCTGGCTCTGCTGGCGCAGCTCGGGAACAAGATCCTCTGTGCGCCGACCTGCGAGCGAGTGTGCCCGGGGCTCGCCGCCTCCCGCAAGGCCTCCCGCCTCCGCCCCCTTCCCTACCCCCTCAACCCCTCCCTCCCCCGCCCCCAGCCGCCGCCGCCTCCTTCCCGCCCCCCCACCCGTCCTCGGCTCGGCTGGTTCCACTGCGCAGTGGCGCGCCCGGCTCCGGCCTCGTCACGTGGCCGTCTAGACACCCTGTCGCTTTAAAAAAAAAAAGCGATTGTGTTTCGCAAACAACAGATCGGGTTTCTAAAAGCTATTTCAACCCCCCTCCCCGTTACCGCCACCCTCTCCCAGGTCTGCAGAGGGGTACCCATGGGCGGAGGGAGGTGGGAGGCCGAGACAGCCCCGGGGTCGGCGGAGACCCAGCGGGAGCAGGGGAGAAATCGGAAGAGCTGGGGGCATGGAGCGGGCGAGTTTGGAAAGGAACGAGTCGTTCGGTGACCCGATTTAGACCAGCGGAGCTCGCCCCGGCGCTTCATTCATTCGATTTGTTTTAAGGCCCTGGCGGCAGATCCCTTGGAAAGGGGAGGCGAGCGCTGTCTGTTTCAAAGACATTTACACCGGCCAGGACAGAGGCCCTGGGAAGTGTGCGCTAGAGGGAACAGCCCCGCTGCCGAAGGCGGAGAGGCGGCGCGAATGTGACCTCAGCGGCCGCCGCGCTCCCTCCCGCCCTCTCCCGCTCCGGGCTCGGGTTTCTAGGACTGCCTGGAGAAGTGTGTCTTGTGCACAGCTCTGGAATGCATTTGGCAGGCTGACGAGCAGCTAGGGGCAGCATCCTGGAGGGAGGAGGGGTGCAGCTCGCCTGCGCGCCGCCGGCAGGTTTCCTCCCGGCCCGGAAGACCTCCGGCACCCGCGACTCAGCCTCCCGGCGCGGGAAGGTTACCCAGCGAGCAGACCTGTTTAGAGTTTTCATTCGCACGCGGGGCCTCGTGGCTTTCAAGGTGCTTAGGGTCAGAGTGTTTAGCCCTTGACCTCAGGTACCAGAGAAAGGTATCCCCAGATGCAGGTGACTGCTTAGAAGTAGGAAAGATGTTTGTCAAGCAAAGGTCCTGGCTGCTGGTCTGAGAATAGTACCAGTGTTTACTGAGACCACTCGTTGGCATAGTGATACAGACACTCATATTTACTGGGCTTTTAAAAAGTCGTGAAAGTGTGAAATTACGACTGTAATGAAACTCAGAGGGGGCTTAAAGAATTTTTACAAAAGGTGGAAAGTAATATTTATGTCTCTCCATCGGAATTATATGATTTGAACAGGGTAATTTTTAAATGCCCTCTCCATTCAGTAACAATACTTGATACATATTTAGAGGGCTGGAAGTATATAATTCAGTGGAGGTCCTGGGTTCAGTTCCTAACAACACACACACACACACACACACACACACACACACAGTAGAAATCAGCACTTAGCGTTGGGCATTCAGACCATTCTCCTACCCTACCAAAATCATACGAATAAAAAAGAAAAACAACAGTTGTGGCCAAAGGATCCTCTCCCGGCTACCGGGCCCTAAGTTGTAGAGAGAAGACAACAAAATGCCAAGAATATGGAACCATCAACAGTACAGAACGAGAGCAACACTTGGGAAGTGACTGGGTAGCAGAGTAACTTTGCTAAAAACTCAAGTGCAGTTAGTTGGAATTGTGTGTACACACTTTAAAGCCACCTGGGAAGAAGGCCACAGTCAAAATGACCAAAGAAGGAATGGAGAAAAGATGAATTCACCATTGCAGGCAGGGAGTGACCAAAGAACTACCCGGTCTAGAAAATGTGTGATGCAGTCACCTTAGAAAGGAATGGGAAGGGGCTGGAGATGTGGCTCAGAGGTTAAGAGCACTTGCTGCTCTTCCAGGGGACCTGAGTTTGCTTCCCAATATCCACTTCTTCAGTTCCAGAAGAATCTGACCCCCCCTCTTCTGGTCTCCACACTGCATTCACACACGTGCACACACACAAATCTTAGAAAGGCACAGGAAGACTTAAAAAACAAAACTGATTTCATGTTGGAGTTCTGCCCCTCACTGGGTGGAGCTTGTACCACCAGTGGTCCTCAGGTGAGATGCTGCTCTGGAAGATTTTTCCGAGGCTTTCTGAGGTAGTGTGTTCTTACAGGGTCTTGCTTTCTCTCCGTGTTTTCTGGGTCTCACTAGACCAGGAAGGCTAAACCAGGCCACAAGGTGACAGGAAGAATTAAATAAACAGAAAGCAAGTGTCATCCTTCTAATTAAGCTTTGTGGCCACATGGACAATCTGAAGAAATCTGGAACCGTGAGTGGTACTAATATCTCCGTGATGAAAGGCCTGAGTGTGTCCAAGGCAGATGGGTGTAATGGGTATCCCAGGAGGTTGAATCTGATGTCACAGCTTGTCTGGATGGAACGTGCATATACTTGCAGAGCTATGTTCCCATCTAGTGTAATTGTGGGTGTTTTAACTCAGGCGTCACCTCTATTTTGCCCTCTCTACACAGCTTTCCTCCTTGGTTTTACGACTTGACGTAGAAGTGGGTGGGATGCTGGGCAAGTGGCTGCAACGGCTGATGCTTTATGGTTCCCTGGCATCCCCTGAATCTGTTAGCATCGCAGCCTTCTTGACAGCCAGCCCCACCCCATCACATTCTTACTCCTTCCCTTTCCAAGAAAGAAGCCAGAAGCCAGCAGTAGAGCTCTGCCTGGCTGGCATGCCTAGAAAGGGAGGGCTCTCCTTTCGCTTCGCCTTCGCAAGTGGGACTCACAAGCGTCCGACTTCAGACTATCTGATCCTTTGTAGAAGAAAGTTAAGAGTCCAAGCTATTGTGAAGGAACTTGATAATAACCCTTTTCTGGCAGAGAATGTGGAATAAAATATCTCATCTGCAGTTGTTTATTTCCTGTTGTGGCTTCTATTTCCATCTTTTAGTCACTTTGGTGATAGTAATCAAACCCTAATCATGGTGCAGCCACAAGTCACCAAGACTGAAATAGCAGACTTATGACAGACAAGGATGGAGACAGCTAAGGACCTGGCTATTAATCACCAGTCCCTTGTTCACTGCCCATTGGCTAGGTGTCTGGAGAAGAGCTGAAGCAGAGAGATAGCCGCCTGTGCCTGAGGCCTCTGAGCAGCCAGAACCCCTAGATCCAGAGCAGCAAAGTGCACAGGAAGTGGCTGCAGAAAGGGTAAGCTCTCTGTATCTGTCGAGGAAAGACGTGGCTCACAGAAGGCCCTAATCTGAGCCAAATAGAGGACAAGAAGAGTCTCCCAAAACTCTTGACACCTCAAAACAAAGCAAAGGCAGAAACCCTCCTCTCTGGGAAAGACAAGATTCTGCCCCTTGATCCTTTTCTCATATTTTAGAGGTTCCGAGATGGAAGAGCAGCAACTCCACCGTGCCTCTGGGGGTGGGGTCAGGGTGAGGCAGGGACAGTTTTTCTTGCAAAAGCCAAAAGGGGAAACAATTGGAAAATATCAACATTTCTTGCACAATCGCTCCCCTAAAGAATGTGTGAGCGAGTCCTAAACCATTCTCAGCTGGCGGCGAGACAAAAGGAAGGGAAGTTACGAAAGGAAGACCGCCCCAGTGAGGCTGGTGTGGCGCTCAGCACTTCTTGCCTTATCTCGGGAAGAACACGAACTAAGTGAATGAAAACACGTCTAATTCACAATCAAATAAAGATGCCACAAGCCCTGACTCATCAAATATTCGAGCATTACAGGCGTACTGTCAGCCAGCCCAGAGCGTCTGCCAGGTATCTGTCCAAAGCACTCAGGTACTGAGTTTGGGGTGAGGACAACAAAACGGGTGCTTGTTGTAGCAACAAAGACAGAAATACGCAGAGAAAGTGGGGTGAGAATAGACATTTAAATGTATAATCATGTAGAGATTCACTGCCCCTTCCCCCGCAAAACAGGCATCCAGATTGCTAATGGGCAGAAATGGGAAGGGAATCCATACATAGTATATAACTTTTTGCATTTCTTGAATTCTGAAGCATGGGAGCATGTTACTTATTCACAAATGCAGCTTTGTAAGCTGTTTTAATCCTTGCCTGCTTTTCTCATTTCCTGCAAATCGTGACTGACAGTCTTGTAGCAGAGGACCAGTTGGCTGGGTCCCATGCAGAAGCAATGCTGTAGATAGCGCCTCTCTCCATGGGTCAGTGTGCTAAAGGAAGGCCGATGACAGCAGACACCAGTGTTTCGTCACAGACAGCAAGGAAGGGTGGAGGCTGCCCCATCGTGACCCTGGCAAGAGTCGGCAAGGAAACCTGACAGCCCTAATCAGAAGTCATTCTGGAAACCAGTCAGGGCCAGTGGCCTAACCGAGGCTGACACGCTAACAGAGGGTCAGGAAACTGCCCAATCAGGGAAAATGAGAGCTTTGCTGGGGGGGTGGGGGGCAAACAAACAAAAAACAAAAGCAAACAAACAAACAAATAAACCAGAGTCATACAATTTTCTACTGACTTGTGCCAGGCTCTGGGTGAGATCTCTGGAGGGTGTCGGTGGGCGTAGGAAAACAGCTTCTGTCCTCAAGAAGTGAGGTGGGCAGGGCAGTGGTAGCACTAGAGAGGCAGAGGCAGGTAGGTCTCTGTGAGTTCGAGGCCAGCCTGGTCTACAGTGTGAGTTCTAGGACTGGCTCCATAGCTACTGAGAAACCCTGTCTCAAAAAATTAAAAAATAAATAAATAAATAAATAAATAAAAATTAAAAAATAAGCCGGGCGATGGTGGCGCACGCCTTTAATCCCAGCACTCGGGAGGCAGAGGCAGGCGGATCTCTGTGAGTTCGAGACCAGCCTGGTCTACAGAGCTAGTTCCAGGACAGGCTCCAAAGCCACAGAGAAACCCTGTCTCGAAAAACCAAAATAATAATAATAATAATAATTAAAAAATAAAAAGGAGCACACGATGGAGGAGCAGGGTAGGAATAAGAAGCCAGCCTAGCCTCACAAAATGGTCAGTGCCCTGCAGAGCAGCCAGAGTGGAGCCCTTGAGGGATGGGTAGGATGGGGGGAGCACTGTGAGGGAAGTGTTGAAAGTACCAATGGTCCTAGT